CCAGTGGCAGCCCATGTGGCTCCCCTGGCACCCTATGGGCTCTGGCTGAGTGAAGGGTGGGGAAGAGCTGGCTGACCTTCAATCCTTCCTGTGCACTTGCCTGCTCTCCCAAGGCTCTCTCCATGTTGGATGGCCATGAGTTTCTTTAGTTTTTGTTTGTCTCTGTGTTCTCCATCTCCATTTCTCAATCATCTCCAATAAAGTTCTATAATCTTCCAAATTGGAGCGCAGTCTACTTTCTGGGTGAGCTGTGCAGCACCGCGGGACTGGGAGCTTGGGAAGACCTGCCTGTCACTCCAAACTCCCTTTCCTGGAGGGGACCAGGGTTCAGATGTGGGTGGTCACCACCTGAATATCCGCAATGATCACTGGGGAGCGTAGCTGTGTGGTGGGGGGGCAGGGTAAGCTCTCGTTTCTTGCATGATCCATTGGTAACCCTGCAAACATCACTACCCAGTAAAACAGCCTCCCATGCATCACAGTTTGCTTTTTAGGCAAAATTCTGGGCCAGTTAGTTGAAGGGAAAGAACATTTTTCAATTTAATTCCAAAGTAAACCTCCAGCTGTGACACAGAAACACTTATTTTCCTGTAGATTTATTTTTTATCTTAGCAAACATCTTCCAATTGCTTTAGAGCTTCCAAGCCCTCCTTCAGCTGGCTCTGAGGGGTTCATAGGCAACATTTCCAAATTGCAAAAGTAAAGTGGAGATGAGGGTTGGATCTTCTTGAGAATTCTTGAAACATCATTTCCCCATTGTCCCTATAAAAACAGTGCTCTCCCATCCTGTCAGAGGACATCTGCCTGGAGTTCTGGGGAGCATCTCCCTTTGCCTTTGAGAACTCAGGATGTTGCAACACAGTCTCCAACACACCCAAGCAGCTCAGCATTCCGTCACCTGCAGATTGATGGGTGGATCTAATGTATCCCTGCAAAGCCCCAGGCCTGCAGAGCCAAGCTTGGCTCCTGTTCTCCTGGGTCTCTGAGGCAGGAAAGTAACCAGGGATATCCCTTGGTGGGAAGTACATTCCCGGGATCAATATTTCCCAGTAGGGTTCCTTAACCTCTCCCTTCGACCATAAGTGTAGGCAAAGGGAAGAAAGGTGACCCAGGAGTGGGGCCTGGTCATGGCTGTACCAGGGTAATCACCGCACATGGCCTGAGGAGGGAAGTAGTGATCCAGGAGGCACCTACCCGCTAGGTGCCACTCAGGTCCTGGCTGAGAACGAGCTTCCTCACAGGGTGTAACCGGAGGGCAGGTGATGAGGACCATGGACACTTGCAGCAAGGTCCAAGGACAGCCAGGCATGGTGCATCACCAGCCATTGTCCCAGGTCTAGTGCAAGGGGAGGGTAAGGGCCCTGGAGCCAGGGACAGGAAATCCACAGAGGACCACATCGCTGCCCCTCCAGCTGCAGGGGAGGGCAGGAGGTGGAGCTGCCCACAAAGGGCACGCTCCTGGACACAGCAGGCCATAGAGGGATCCCAGGGCAGGCCACCCTGCGGGCTCTGTTCTTGCTGCACACAGGGCTCTGAGGATCTCGCTCATCCCCGAAAGTCTCCAGGCCACCCGAGAGGTGAGCGTTCAAATCACCATTCTGCAGACTCAAGAACAAGGAGCCGTCTCCTTTCCATAGTGATGGACATTTTTATTTTATCTTATTTTTTATTTCATTTTATGCTGAGAGTGAAGGGTATGTCCTAGGAATTTCAAAAGCTCTTGTAAGGAAAATCCCTGGTTCCCACGTGCTTCTGGGTAAAGAAGGTGACTTCTTCTTCTACTCATTATGATGAAAAGTGAAACTCTTCAAAATGCCCAGCAAACCTCCCACGTCCTGGGAAATTCAGTCCAGTTACATCAGTCCTGGGCGAGAGGACCTCTTCCCATACCGTCTAAAAGAGGAGTGCAGCACCCCTAGGCTAGGCCCAAAACTTAGGTTTAAGTTTTAAGAAACTGAATAAACTGTGAGGAGAAACTCTTCAGGACCACGCAGCTGGAAACCCGCAATAACCACCCCTGTCCTGCCTCTTCCCCCGCCGGCAGCGGCCAGTCACTTTCTGATGGTACCTTGTGAAATGTCTCCTTATTTGTCCCTGTCAGGCCACAGAGTGCTTGCTGCCCTGGGCACAACAGGGTCCCTCCTGTTCACCCTTCAGGACAACCTGTGCCTGGCCCAGGGAAGAGCTGGGTGAGGCCCACTGAGGGCTGATGGTTTTCTTCTCAAGGAGACTATGGCCCCTCCTCAGAACACACAGAAGTGACCACCCAGGATGTGTTCTGAGCCCCGCAGGCTCCACTCACGATGCAAATGGTCTTACATGGAAGACCCAAAGGCCCACGCACTCCTTCCTGAAGAGGGCGCTGCCCAGGCAGACCCGGGACATCCCGGCCTCCCATCCAGAACCTGTGTTCACAAGTGGCCAGGGATGGCCCCAGTGACTGAGGATGCCATGTTCTTCACTAAAGAAGCACCAAGGGGCTGGCGGTGCCATGCAGGTCTCCTGCCTGCACAGACAGGGCTCTGCGGGATGGGGACACCCTTTTTCCAGCTCTGACTCAGTGGGCATGAGAGCTGCAGCCCAGCGGAAGGGAGGCTCGGGTGGTCCCTCCCCGGCTGCTCTCTGCCTGGACAGAGGAGGAGGCCTGAGCAGCCTGGTTTTCCAGGGAGAATGCCTTCATTGTAGCTTGCTCTAGCCTATTTTCTTTAAAATGAGCAACAAACTGGGAAATTCACTTGAGTTTTTCCAAGACCTGGCTGGCTCTCTCTCTGGCTGCATATGCACAAGTCAAGAGTTAGTTTCTCTGGCAGGTTTTTTTTTTTTTTTTTTTAATTTCTCATCTTCTAGTGAGAAACTTTTCATCATCATTGCTAGTTACTTCCAATGAACGTTTAGTTTTTGGCCAGTTATAAATATATTAATGCTCAATCTTAAAAAAAAAATTCCTTTGAGATGTAATCACTCTTTTCATATATCAAAGAACGGAAGCCCCAGAATGCTTTTGTCAGCCCTGAATGCTCAGAAATTACAGAAAAACAAGAGAGGTCCCTAAGCTGCCCCATTGGCTGTCCCTGATTGGCACGGCCCTGGTGTCCCAAGCTGCATTTCACAGTTGCGGATCCCAGGGAAGCAAGATGGGGATGTCACCTGGACTCTCTGTCCAGTATTTAGACTTGAGGTCCACATTGATCCTGCAGAGCTGCCTGCCCACCAGGGCCCTCGGAGTTGAAGCCAGTCTGAATTCACCTTCAGTAGCTTGCAGTCAAAAGGGTTCCAGGTGCCACATTAGTAGTTATTTTGTTGTGCCTTAGAGGCAGTACAAGACACGATAACCATTATACTAATATCTCACCTCAACGAGCATTCTTGTTTTGAAGGCAGGCCATAATAACATCCTATATCTTTATAATGATTTTGCTTTTTCAACGTACTTGAGTGTCTTATCTTTTGCAAATCGGCAGGAATGGAGCACTGACACCCTAACTGCGGCCGGTGTGGGTGTTAGTCTGCAAACTCTCTCTTTGGAGGGTCCGGAGTAGATATTGTAGAGTGGTAGGCTAAGAAGCAACGCTAGGCAGAGGAAGGAACTGTACATAACCTTTTGAAATGCAGACATTAGAAGCGTTGAAACCGTTGCTATCTTGTGAAGGGTGTAGGCAGTAGAGCACATGTGGTCCACGGTTACAGTGGACATGATAAGCCAAGAGGGATCATTCTCCAACCTCAGTGTTCACAGATCCTCCTGACAGATGTGCTTTCTGGTAGACATCTGGCATCATTGTCCATTCCCCACCTCTCAGTGAAAGCCAGATTTTCCCTTGATACCCCACACCCACCAGCTCTCAGGGTGATCAGGTTCCCCGGGCCTGGCCAAGCAGAGCACTGAGTCTCGAGACTTCAGTGTTTGGCTTCAGGCTGGTGCACGGCAATCAATTATGATCCTCATCAGAGCCAGCCCAGGGATGTGCGTGTGTGATTGGCAACAAGGATTTATTTTTTTCTTACTGGATGTAATACTATGAAGGTGCAAGAATGGCACTGTCAGGGCCACCTCGGGGCTCTAACAGAGAGTCACAGAGCTGAGGGAGGAAGAGAAGACACAGCCTTCCTTGACGATATTGTCAGGGCACTGGAGTTTGAGCACCAGTGTGGCCTGCAGCGGCACTACTGGCACGACCTATGAGGTTCTTAATCCCAACCCAGACCTCCTAAGTCACGTGTGCAAGCACATTCAAGTCTGAGAAACACTTTCTAGACCTGGAAGTTCTGTGAGCCAAGTCTAAGTTGGGTTGGGTTTGCAGCCCTTGATACCCAAAGAACCTCGATCCACCCATTCCTGGTCATCCTGAATGCAGTCAAGCAAACAGGCTGTGTGCTGGCCACCTCTCACCAGCGCAGGCTGCTAAGCATGACTGGGCACAAGAGGACGGCAGGGCGAGGCACAGCACTGAGCATTGTCTGCATGGTGCACCTCAGATTGAATTGCAGCCCACCTGGAGCCTCTTGGAGCCCCTGCCAATCAGGCTCCTTCAGTCTGGGGCACTGAAGGAGTGCAGCCAACATGTCTCTCATGCATGGAGTAGGGATCAGGAAGAGCTAGAGGGTCCCTCAAGGACTGCACGGTCCAGAGCTCCCTGAGCTTCCAGGCATGCAGTATAACCAAGAATGACATTTGCTGACTCAGGTCCCCAGGACTTCAAAGTCACTTGTTGCCACAGCATAACCTAGCCCACCCCAACGGGTACACAGCACGGCCCACAAGCTTCTTAATAGAAAAGAAACAGAAGAAAGGAAATGGACTCAAAGAAGAGGTAAGTAGGTAAGGATGAAATGTGGCCTGGGTGTGGCAGGCACCACGAGGACCCATAGCCAGGCTGAGCTCACCGAGTCAATAGTGGCTTCTCCCGGCTGGAGGGAGGTGGGAGGCTGGGGGGTCAGCACCCCTGGGGTTGCAACAATGCACGTCTCGAGGTGGGGGCGGCCAGGGTAGCACATCTTACCATGGCCAGCGGCACGATGCCCACCAGGTCCTTCTGGCTGACGAAGATCTCGGATACGGCGATGTCGGTGGTCCCCTTCCGCGGGTATTCCACCTGCCACGTGATGGGCTGAGTCCCCGAGAGGCTGCTGAAGCTGGCGATCTCAAAGTTCATCTGCACAACCTCGCTGAACAGACTGCTGCTTCTGGAAGGGAGCAGAGGGGAGTGGCGTCAGGCTGACCTCCTTCAAAGACCCTCTCCCTTCCCCCTCCAAGGCAATCTTAGACTCTACAGATAAAGAAGAGGCCAGGGTTTGGTGGGGTACCTGGCATGGGCCACCACCTCCAACTTGGGAGTGGGTGGCCAGGATGGAGCAGCAGCCACACGTTATGGGTCCGGGATTGAGGTGTTGAACATGGAGCTGGCATCAGCCTGGGCCTCAAGGAGGCTCCTGATGAAGAGATAAGCCAGTGGGCTTGGGCTGGCTGTGTGCACCCGTGTGGCCTTGAACTAAGCAGACCCCTTATATTTAGTGTCATATCTGCAGCAGATGCAATATCGCCTCCTTGCCCTCCTTCCCAGCTGGTCCCTCCCTCTCTCCTTGGGGATAACAAGCTCTTCCCACTCCCAGGCTCTCCTGCAGCCAGATGCAGGCTCATAGCAGGGTCCACAAGGCAGACCCCACTCATCGGGGCTCAGAGATAAAAGGGGTCATGAAACATCAGCAGTGGAGGAGGCTGGGATTCCCTGGAGGGCTGAGTTCCGGGTTCTTCAGGGCGGCTGTGGGTGCTCCGTCACCCTGGCCCTCATATTCTCAGTCGCTGGTCTCTGCAGAGCCTGGTCACTTTTTCATGGTCTCTATTATCCCTGCTGCCCTGGCTCTGGCTAGGAGGTTAATACCTTCAATTCGGTGCCTCTCCTAGTCTCCCAAGGTTGTCTGAATCACCTAGTGTACTTCAGTGAAGCCTCTTGTGTTCAGAAGGCCTCCTTAGCTGGAGGGCCTCTGTGTCTGAACCTAAGAATTTCAACTCTACTGTGCATCCTGGGGCAGGGGGCCCAGACAGATGTTCAGCAAGCTCACCTAGCATACTTCAGAGCCAGCGACAGTCCAGACTTTATTTCTCAGATGACGAAATTTAGGCCTGGAAAGGGAACATGGCTTCCTCCGACCTGAGAGGCAGCATCAACACGGAGCGCTGTGTCTCCTGCTCCCTAGTGCAATGCTCTTTGGCACCCACCTCTGTGGCCAGACACGACCTCCCAGGCACCAAAGGACCTTCTCAAGACAGGGAACAGCCAACTGTGTCCTTGGACCACATAGCAGCTGTCTACTTTGGCAAGTCACGCTTTATTGGCACAAAGCCCTGTGGGACAGCTTGCGTTCTGTCTGTGGCTGTGTTGGTGACACAGAGGCAGGTGTGAGTCACAGCATCGCCTGCATATCCTGAAGCACACACTATCTGGACCTTTGAGGGGAGCCTGCCAGTCTTCGCCGTCAGCTGGAGAAGGAAGGTGGGTGCACTGTCCGCAGCTGTTCAATCACCAGAACTGAGAAGAACCAGGAAGGAGGGGTGTTCACTTGTCCAGGGTCCTGTGGAGCCTTGGGGTTCAGACCAGGATTGCCTAAGCAGTGAGTCACCCATCGGCACCATCTCAGGCTGGGGTCTTGAGGGTAGGCCACCTGTTTGCAGGCAAATTCAAGAGGGTTTTTTCCAGCGCACATCACGGAAGACACACCAGATGCACTCAGCAGTGGCCCCCTGAGCGTGCGCTGTGCTGGGTGGAGGCGGGCCACCTTTCCCTTTGCCAGGGCGAGAATCAGCCACAAAAGAACCTGCGGAGTCTTCAGGGCTTGCTCCAGGCCGAGGGCTGCATGCACGTGGCACAGTCTGCGGCTGAGCTGGAGATAACGGATGCACCAGCCCCAGCTCTGGGACAGGTGGATCCTCCATGAGCTCTCTGAGCCTGAGGTGGGGCCCGGAGCATCGTGATTAATGAAACGCCAGGATTCCTCTAGAAGGGAAAATAAACCCAAGGTCTGGACAGTCCAGTCGGGCTGCATCTCAGGAGTGAAACTCTGGTCTTGGACAATGAGGGGTCTGGGCTCTGGAGTGTTTCCAAACTGGGAGATGAGCTCTTGCCCCAGGAACCAGAGGCCCTGGCTTAGATGCCCCATGACCTCCAGGGCGTCCTCCTCCCTGGTCACAGGCGCTCCTGTCTCCTAGTGAGGACACCGGGGACCTCCCCACCTACCATGGAGGAGGGTTCTGCTGGCTGGGCCTGCTGGAGGTGCCACCGCTGCCCGGCTACTTGGTGGACTCCTGCCAGCAATGGCTTGGCCCTCCTCGGGACTATACATGACAAAACTCCAACTGCCCACAGGCTGGGTCTGCGGAGGCCCCAGGGAGGCCTGTCCTGATGCCAGGCTGCAGAGTCTTCAGGGCTCACACCTACATCCAGCTGCATCTCCTGCAGCATATTCTTTTGTGACCATCTCTAAGGCTCTCAAATCGCTGAGGCTCAGCGGCATTACCCCCACTGGAACATGGGTGTTCCCACCACAGGGAGGGGAGCAGCCTGCAGTGGGTAGGATTCTCCTGCTGCAGCCATAGCTCCTGCAGCTCTGCCAAGGCTGGGAACGACGGCTTGACTCGGATCGAGAAGGAAGCAGTGTTTTCGCTGGCGTTGAAGGACTGGTGGTATGATCTTCATGAGTGATGAGGTTACCTGCCCAAGGTGGGGTTTTTATTTTTGAACCAAGGATTGAACCCAGGGGTGCTTTACCACTGACCCACATCCACAGCCCTTTAAAATATTTTACTTAGAGACAGGGTCTCACTGAGTTGCTTAGGGCCTTGCTAAGATGCTGAGGCTGGCTTTGAACTCAGGATCCTCCTGCCTCAGCCTCCTGAGCAGCTAGAACCACAGATGTATACCACTGTGCCTGGCCTTTCAAGGGGTTTTGCTAAAGTGCATACAGAATGGAAAGAAGACCCTACTGTTAATGAGATTCACTATGTTCCAGGCACAGGCCCAGGCTCCATGCATACGTCATTCCAAACCCCACTGAAACTCCTCAGGGTGCATGGCTGCCGAGACTCCCAGTTCACACCAGTGTTGGAGCAGAGACTCCTGACTCTGTGGCCAGGGATAGCTTTGCATCACGGAATTGAGGGCAATAACTCTGCACGTCCCTGTTTGAAACATGCTGTGGTACCCCCCCCTGGGGCTCTCAGCACTCTTGTGAGCCAACTGAGCTCAATTTCTGTTTCAGAATAAAAAAATAATAATAATAAAAAAGTTTGCAGTTGGAGGAAAACTCCAGCCGCCTAAGAGCTGGGCAGAATTACAAGCAGAGTGATATCAGGATGAGTCCCTGGGTCAAGGGGGATGGGAACGTGCTTGTTCAGATCATTGACATCAGACTCTCAGGCACAGGAGACCTCAGCAAGACGGAGGAGACGTCCTGGGTCACAGGGAGCCCAGAGGCACGTGTGGGAAGAGGCCACCCAAGGCCGACCTGGCAGAGACGGGTCGGTGCCTGGGAGGCTCAAGCCTGAACCGGCTGACTGGGAACAGGGGGTACAGACTTCATACCCTGTTTATTTACTTCTCTGCACAGGTGTGGCTCTATCCCCTCCTCAGTGGCCAGCCAGCCTTAACTTCATCTTTTAGAGCATGTGGGACATATCAAATTACAGGGAGGGGAACTACTAGGGAATCGGGCACTGTGGAGAGGTGAGCGGAGAGGGCGACCGGTGCCCACGGCCTGCTCTGTTCCTTCTGAGTGGAAGCCTTGCTGTGTGCCTGCGACGGCTGCCTTCTCAGTGCGGGGTAGAGAAAGATGGTTCTAGAGAGTCTGGGAGCCTGCGCTTTTCTATGGAATCTCTGGATAACAGCTCTTTCGGCCCTGATGTGGCTCAGACGGCAGCTCCATTTGCTGTCCCTGGTTGGGAACTCCAGTGGCCGTGGGTTCCTCCATACCTCTATCTCAGAGGCTTCCTCCGTCTTTATGGGAACCCTTTGCAGAAGCTCCTTCACTGAGGTGGAAGAGGCCTGTCCTGAGGACGGTGCAGTGTGGTTTCCCAGCTGGGTCCCCAGGACTCCAAAGGGGTGAGCAAGAGATGGGCGTGGCTACGTGGGTCCTGAACGCCACTGGGTCCCTATGTCCTCATGTTGCCAAATAAGAGCAGCTGTGGCCTGGGGGTTCAAGACATTGGGTCTCTAGGAGGCATTTATTTCAAGGAATGAAAGAGAAAGAAGGAAAGAAGGAGATGAGGGAGAGAAGAGGGAAGGAAGAGGATGGAGAGTTAGAACCCAGACTGTGTGGAAGAGCAGGCCAGGAACCCCCACCCAGCTTAGGTGGGGCTTGTGGTGCTGCTGGAGTAAAAAAGAGGAATTTCAACACTTATGTGACTCCAGAAAGCGTCCAAGAGCCATCCCTTGCTAAAATCAATAATGGGCACTTATTGCAGTGACTCTTGAAAGAAATTTTCAAAATCGGCTTAAAGAAGCTCTTACTGAAAAGCAAATAAATTCCCCCAATAGTCACAATAGTGTTTGGACCACCGAAAATTCGATTTACCAAGCCTCTTATCTAGTGGGCTCTATCTGGTAAGAAAGTGGAGCCCAGGGCGGTGTCTCAACGCCAGAGGGACTTGGCCTCCCCACTCCGGGGGAGGGCACTTGCCCTCCGTAGCTGCAGAGAGAGAGGAGAGCCACAAAGGGAAGAAAGGAGCCTTGGAGTGGGGCTGCCCCAGGATATTGGGGCATCTGCCCCAGGCTTCGCTTTATTCCTCTGCATCATGTGCATTGGATGAAGGTGGGCACACGTCCTGTCCCCAGACCCCAGGTCCACACTGATGGCCTGTGTGCTCTGGGGTGTCAGAGCTGCAGATTGTGGGTTTGAGCTACAAATTGCAAGCAACTGCAAAACCCTTGATCCAGCTGAGGGAAGGGTACAGAACATATGCTTCAAAGTCACCAGGAAGGGGGGAGAAAAGAAATGGATAAGGTGGGGGGGACAAAGAATGGCCACAAATCTAGAGCCTCAGAGAAAGCCAGCTCTGGAGAGGACGGGGCCTCCGGGGCCCCTGCTCTGCTCTCTTGACTCTCCACCAGTGACCCCCATTCCGAGTGTTGAGCAAGGACGGGGACTGGCTGAGGAGATGACCTGCTGCTGTCCAGCATGGCTGGGCAGCCAGAGGGAGTCCCCTCTTTCTTTCTTGCTCTCCCCAGTTACTAGGCAGAATTCCAGGCTCAGGACAGCGGCTGGAGAGCAAAGCCTAGGAAGCCTGCGTGTTGCCAAGCACTCGGATTTGGAGCCTGGACTTAAAAGCAAACCTAAGCACACATTTTCCTTCTCTCTAAAGGAGCAAAGCCTAGGAATCCATGGGAGCAGGCAATAAATGGGGAGATGGAGAAAGAGACTCCTTTACTGCCAATTACATCAATGCCAATGGCGTCCCTTTAAAGCACAGCAGCCCCTTGGAGCAGCCGAACCCGTCATTACTGTGGATCTAGCTCCCACCTGAATTCCCTCTGTTGTAACTACTTAAGGGGAGGCGCTGGGTCTCAAATCCTACCCACCTCTTTCAGGGGTGACTTTGCTGTACCTCCCATCAAGAGCTGAGACCCTCTCTCCCCTGCTGGAATCCAAGCTGGCCCTGAGATTCACTTTGGTCCACAGAGCACCGTGGAAGTGACCCTGCAGAACTTCCCAGCCTCGCAGCAGCTACCCTTCTCTTGAGGGGCACTGCTGTGACATCACCATGACATGAAGACCCTGGGCCGTGTGGAGAGAGAGGCCCCTACCATCCAGCCCCAAGCTGCTGCACCAGGTAAAGACAGTGCCAATGGGGGGGGGTGGGGGTGGCCCAGTGAGTTTCTACTCAGGAGAAGCAGTGTATGGCTTGGAGTCAGAAAGCACGGGGGACTCTGTTACGTAGCACTAGGTGGAGACATGGCTGCCACAGCTCTTTTGAGCAGAGTATGGCACAGGTAGGGCACAGGTGGAGAAGAAATTGGATGCCAAGAGCAGGGAGGAGCCCAGAAGCCCACCACTCTGCAGCCCACCAAGGCCCCACTGGTCCAGAATGCAGTGAAATGTTTGCCCTGCTCCAAGGAAGTCTTCTGAGGTGGCTGAGAGGGGACAGAGGCAGAACTCCATCTCAGTGTCCAGCAGGAGGATGGGTGGACAGTAAGATGGCCTGGACTGTGGACAGAGACCACTGAACATGGCTGCTCCTTGAGGGTGGGCCTCAGCACCCACCATACTGGCACACAGGAAGCAATTGGCAGTTCCTTCATGTGAGGCCATCAGAGAGAGACGACCCGAGGGCCTGGTGTCCTCTGCAGCCCCATGCCACGATGAGCCTTGTCAGCTGGGCCAAGTTTGCAGAGAACCCTGCAGAGCCTAATGGGCCCAAATGACCAAGTTTCCACCTGAAATGCCTTAGAAAGCCTGGCATGAACCCTAACAGGCTTTCCACCTACAGGAGGGCTGGGGGCTGGGGGAGACGGGAGTAAACGGCAGAGGAGGCCTGGAGCGGCACATGCCATTCTGCACACTGGGGTGTGTCCATGGGAAGGCCCACTGCCTTCCCCAGTGAAGCTGTGCATGGTTAACAGTGCCCAGGCAGCGGCCAGCCTGAGCCTGGCCCCAAGATCCAGTGTCTCTCAAATCCTGGTCATAGGATTCCACCTCCACGGGGCTCCCTCATCTCCTCATCATCCCCCGGCCGCTCCCATCTGGCCCTGGTGCTACTCAAACACACCAAGTGCATCTGCCCTTGCTCTCCACCTCGGCTGGCCCCTCACTGCATGAACACATGACACACTCTTCACATGACCCTGGACCCTCGCACTCTTCACATGACCCTGGACCCTCGCCTCCACTGGAGGCTCACCCTGCCCCTTCATTTACATGTCCACACATTACACTGTGCACCCCTTTGTACCTGCTGGACCACATGCCCCCTCCTTCTCCAAGGCCAGCTCCCTGACAGCACGACATGGCCCCTTCCATTGCCTCCTCAGGTCTCATCACTGCCATAATCCATGGGAGGCACCCAGCAAATATTTGTTGAATGTGTGACATGTGAGCGATTGCTCCCCGAGCCAAGCTCCCTGAGACTCACGATTTTCTTTCCTTCCACTAGTCAGGTTAATATTAATTTTTGCTCAAGACGGGAGTCGGCTTTCTTGGAAGGGAGTGCAGGCGCATCCTTGGGAGCTATCAGCTCTTCCAGAAGCCTTGAACCTGTTCCAGGAGCAAAGCGAAAGGCAGAGACCCCTGGAGGTTCTCCAGCACAGACACGCTGGAGGTCCACTCCTAAAACTTTGCATTTTCCGAATATCACAGAAGACAGACGCTGGATCTGCTCCAAAGCTTGCTATTGAATTTTATGCCTGCTAAGCTCTACTAAATACATAATGAGGAGGCCGAATTAACTATGCAGAATTGTAATTTACAGTTAATGTTTGTAATTGATGAGCTGCGGGTCTCTGTGGCAGCGCTAACTGCTGAGATGAGAAGGCCCTGAAGGGATAAAGGAAAGTTTCCTCTTTGAAAACAGAAGGCTTCCTCAACCAGCTTTGTGCCCATTCATCCAGCATCCAGCCACTGGACACTGACCAACACGGATTTGTGCCAGACACTGTGTGAGAGACGGGGAAGTGAGCCATTGTGGTCCTCAGCACCTGTGGGCGACCCAGGAGTCCCCAGACTCCTGCTGTCCACTCACTGCTTACTTGGCTACAGACACGGTGAGGAGACTGCCCAGTGGTGGTAGATCATCAGGCCTGGGTGCTGCTCTGCCCTGGTCCCCTGGGTTCCCTTCTTTGGCACCTGACTACAATGATGTTTCCAATTTCAGGTCCCCTTGGAGTTGAGAAAGTGCTTCTCTTTGAACTTGGGGGTGCAGACCACAAGTACTCTGGAGGAACTTGAACTCAGAACCTCTGCTGTCTTATTTAAGATGCTGAACCCTGATTGATGGCAGGAGGGCCTGCTGGGCTTTAAGGAGATACCAGTGCTTTTTAAAAGTGGCCTTCCCCTCTCTCTTTCAGATTGGGCCAGCAGGGGGTGGGCCTAGATGTCCCTCTTCTTGTTTGGCAAAGCTTCTGAGGACACTCCAGGTAGGGTAAAGAAGCACTGATCTATGTTTGGTTTGGTTTTTAAGGGAGTAGTATCAAGTACGAAGGTCTTTTTCTTATACCCAAATCAGCAGCAGCAAGATGGGACAGGATCTCATCCCAGCAAAGCTGTAGAGGCAGGCCTGAGTGCCCTGGACCCCTGGCCCTGCCGTGGGCCTCCTGGTGCCACGGACAGCCCCACAGTCAGAGTACAGAGGGCCTCTGCCTGAGACACACACTGTGCCTGAGACAGCCTCTTCCAGAGACACCCTGCAGCTGAGAGAGCGTCCTCAGCTTCCTCCTTCCACTCTCCGACTCTCGCCCTCCCTCAGGGTCTCGCTCTGGCTACACAGAGCCAATAGCCCAGTGGGCAAGTTTGGTCCCTTGCTGTAATCCAGGTGAAAGGACCCAATGATGGCAGCCCCCCCCCACCCTCCATAACCCAGTTAGCAAGGGAGCTTGGAAAGTTCATTCTGCAGGTTGTGGAGTGATGGACTGAGACCAAGTGGGCCTCTGGCCAGCGCTGCCCACCTCGACTCCCATACAAGCACCTCTGCTCACTCCACTGAGGGAGGTCCAGCGCACTGCCCCAGCTAGGGGCAACTGGGCAGGAGGTGACAGTAGCTTCCCTGAAATAGACTGGAGCTGAGACCTGCCCAGGGTGGAGTTGACCAGGGGAAGGCACTCACAGGGTTTAGGAAGGGGCCTTGTGAGGAAAGACCCCTGAGGACATAAGATGTGTCCCAACACCTGGGGGAGCAAGCTGGGGGACCCAGTGTCCGACACCCCTGCCTCTGCTGGTGGTGGCAGTGGGATGGGGTCCTCCAAACTCCGTCCTTCCACATGCACTTTTTTTTAAAAAAAATATTTTTATTTTATTCTTATGTGGTGCTGAGGATTGAACCCAGTGCCTCACACATACCAGGCGAGCGCGCTACTACTTGAGCCATATCCCCAGCCCAACATGTGCTTTTTTACATGTTCTCAATACTGTCTGCATTTTATCTTTAAAAGGTTTTTTTTTTTGTATTAAAATATATAAAATGCATCACATGGGGAAGAAGCATACTGGGGGCCACTCTCCTCCCTGGCTCAGTCTCTCCTGGATCCCAAGACAGCGAGGAGCTGACACAGCAGGATGTGGGGCTCCCATGGAAGGATCTGGGTACAACTGGATTACAAGGAAGAGCAGCAAGGGCTATGCAGAGTGGACTCCCAGGCAGAGGCCTCTGGTGGTGGGCAGGGTCCTGGGAGAAGAGCAGAGAGGGTTGGAAAGGATGGGCGAGGAGGGAGTGGACTGGGAAACCATAGGAGAAGAGGGCAGGACAGGGAGCAGCTGCACAGCAGGGAGGGAGCGGGAGCTCCCCGGGTTCCCAGTGCTGGTATGGGAGGCCAGGGACTCGAAGCTCCTGGAGGTTTTGCTCTGATGGCTGCTAAGTGTCACTCAGTCCTTTGGGGGTTATGCAGGGCATGCTCTGCCTGGCCTGGAAGCAGCCAGTTCTCCAGCAGGCTCTGTGGCTTGACCTGTCCATCATGGTCCATGGCTGTCTTCCCAACATGAGGAGTGGCACCCCTGCCCCTGCTCACCCCACAAGCCAGAGAGGGCAGGGAGGTGAGCAGGGAGGTGACATTCCTGTGAGCAGGGAGGTCCTTCTGTAACATACAGCTCCTGAGGCCACTTCTATCTTTAACTGTCTCCCTGATTTCCTACCTTAGTTAGAGGACCTGTGTCCTTCCCTGGGTCACTATGTCTTTCCCCCTCCTCCTCCGTCTCCCCCCTTGCTGTGCCGCTGCTATGGGCTCTTGGCTGCTGCACAGACCCACTGAGCTCACCCCACCTTTGCATGGCTGCTCCCTTTGGCTCTCAGCACATGGCCGGCTCCATCCTGTCACCCAGCGTAGAAGTCGTGACATTCTGAAAATTGAACACCAGACTCAAGGTTTCACCCCCGGTGCCAATGCTGCACTTTCCCCGCTGCCGAGGGGTAAGCTCCTTGAGATGAGAAACTTTGCCAGGTCCCTGTGGGGTCACTGAGGCTTAGCACAGTGCCTGGAAGAACAGGAGGGGTGACCACACCTGCATTTGTTCAGAGGATTACTCTGGGTTCCTGCTCCACCTCTGGCGTCATGACCCTGATCCCCCAAGGCCTGGTGCGTGCCTCACGGCCTCCTGAGGATCACCTCTGGTTCCTCCCAGAAGCACCTACTGTCCTCTCTGGAGGACATGCCCACTGGGCTGATGGCTTCTGAGAAGCAGAAGTGAGCTGGAGGCCAGGTGGGAGGAGGGAGCCGGCTTCCAGACAGGATGATGGACACACACAGCTGCCGTCTCTCCAATCAGCTGCAGTTCTGTGGTGCAACGGGAAACTGAGGCACCACTTGCCCTGACAAGCCTGTCTTCAATTTCCAGTGGCCCCTCAGTATCAGGGACAGGCCAGGGCCAAGTGTCAACCACCTGCTCTCCACTCACCCAGTGTGTTGGGTCTGCAGTTCAGGAAAAACCATCACGAGGTGCCTGGACGTGTCCCTAACAGAAAATGGACAAGCTACAATGAAGCGGCTCTGCTGAAGGGGACAGCCTTCCCCACCCCAGGCTCCACCGTGGCTATGATGATGCATTTGACCACGTGTTCGCTCACACATGGACTTCACAAGAAGGGCTCTTGCGTGGGGTTGGGCACTGGGGCCTCCATGCAGCCGTGGGCTGGCTGTCGTTGTCCTGTTCCCATCCTCCTAGGGACCCCGTGGGACACTCAGGGTGCACACATCAGAACTTCCCAGCATCTGTCTGTCTAAACAGCACACGGGATGGTGGCTTCCTTCTGAGGAATGACCCTTCTGCTATTGCATGGAGCTGCGATGGGTGGTCACTTCCTGGTGGCTCCCCCATCCCACTTTAAAATCACAGCGTTTGAGCCTCGACCCTCAGGTTCTGTGTGGCCAGTGAGACTGAGCTGGGTGCTGTGCCCTCCCAGGTCCTTGCTGTCCAGCCTTGCCAAGAAGGGAGAGTGCAGGGTGCAGTGTGGCTGTGCCAGGTCACCCACCTCAAGCCCTTGTTGAGGCTGCTGTCCTGCCCTCCCTGTGACCATCTGCTCTTTGCTTCTTGCTCCCCCCATCTCACCCCCAACGAGGGTTACTTTAGCCAGATTCGGCTTCTGCTGCTAGGCATCCACAAACAGACTGACTGAGCCTGCTGGGCCTCAGTCCTCCCTCTGTAAGAGCAGGGTGTTCAGCTCTTGGCGTTAACACTGGCCACAGAGGCGTTCACCTCACACTTGTTGCCAACTCTGGGAAGCCAGAGCTCGGGACAGCAGGCTCCAGGAGAAATCCCCGCCCTGCTCAGGCCCTGGAAACCACATCGGACTCACTCATCTTTAAACGGTTCCTTATATTCCGACAAGGAGCAGCTTGGCTTCAAAGGTGGCAGATGCCGTGAACAAATGTCTCCCCTGTGGGCCCTCACTTGCCGCAGGAAGAGGGTCAGATACCAGGGGAAAATGCAGCCAGCGGAAAAATCAATGGGGGACCAAAACTGCTGTTCCCCACTCTGTCCCCTGGGGAGCCGGGTTCTCTCTCAGCTGCGCTGACCCTTCTGACCCATCTTGAGAAAGAATGCTTGCTGGCCAGCAGCCCTCCCTCTGCAGAGCCTGGCTCTCTGGAGCAGCCGTGATGGAGAGCCAGGGGCGCTTTTCAAATCCACAGCCCTGAAGCTGTAACTATCTAGCTGAGCCCATCCAAGGGGACCTTCCACTTAGAAAAAGCCATTCTTAGGTGACTTGGAAACAGCCGGAATGGAGAGTAAAGATGCCGAAATGAACCGCATCCTTTGAGAAATCAGTTCCGAGGCTGCAATTTCATTTTCAAGTAAACTCCGTTTAGAGGGACTCCCCGGACCCAGGACTGTGGGGAATTGAATAATACTGTGTTCACACTGGAAATGGAAAACATCGTCCTGTTGACAAATGGTTTCAATCCCAGAGCCCTCCTTGCACTCAAGTGTTACAAAGCAGCCGTGACAGCTGTTCCTCCCTTTGCTCTCTCTATTCCCAGCCTTGTTTGGGAGGGACAGCGGCGCTGGGCCCACTGGGCACCGGCTGGGAGGTTTCTAGCTACCTTCATTTACAGCATGTGTCACGCAGTCTTTCAAGAAATGTTTACTGTGTTCCTACAGCACGCAAGGCAGGTTTTAAGGAGCTGGGGACATAGCAGCAACAAAATGCATGCCGATTTTCATGGAGTTTGGTGCCAATGTCTGTATGGGGGCTGGGAAGGTGGCAGGAGGTGCTGCTGATGGGGGGAGGCACCTAATAATGAATTCCCCAGGCCCCACCCTTCCTTTCCACCTAGCTTCCTGGTCACAGGGCTTTGCTGGCAGTTTGCACAACTGTGCTGACTGGGGCAGATGTGATTCTCAGGCACCACGGAGGCCACCAGAGCCTTGAGCAGGTGCTTTGCTACTCACTCAGCCTGATTTTCTGTCCTTTCTTGTTTTATAAGCTGGGACTCAGAGAAAGCCCTCCCTAGCGCAGGAAAGCCAGAGCACGTGAGGTAAGCTCCTAAGGCAACAGCCAGCGCTCTCTATGATTCTGCAGGTGAGCTCAGGAGAGGGGAATAGAGAGACCTGGAAATCCAGATGCAGTAGAGGAAGCATGAGGGGCAGGAACAGTTTCAGTAACTGCTGTCACCTGGATCTGTCTTCAGGATTGCTCAGGGGGTCGAGCTGCTGGGTTAGGAGGGAAACCACCTGCATCAGTGCTCACGGTGTGTAGGAGTGTGTGTGTCCAGTGTGCATCAGTTCCTGGCCGTGCATGGGAGGTGCCAGCCTCAGAAGGAGTGCCTGTCTCAAGGACAAGTGATAGCAGGACCTGAACCCAGATCCCATGCAGATGTCATCCACGTGCAGGGGAAGATTCCCACTCTTACTAGCTGTGTGACTGATGATAGGAAGGTGTCTCTGGGCTAAGCGAGGCAGCCCTTAGAGGATGGCCCCAGGACCCAGAGAGCAGCTTCCATCTCAGTTGGGGGCAGAAGTCTGTGTTGAAGCTTTCATTTGAAGTGGGGAGGAGGGGAGAGGGGACATGGAGAGGGACAGGGTGGCCTGGTGGGGCCAGCCTCCTGGTCCTAGATGGTGCCTTCTCACTGTGTCCTCATAGGCTGCCCTCCGACCCCTTTCCTGAGAGCCTTACTGCCATTCACAGAGCACCAGCCTCATCACGTAAGCACCTTCCAAGACCCCTCCTCTGAACCCAGCCCGCATGTCCTGGTGGGATCCAGCCTAGGATCTCAGGGGACACAGCCTCCACACTGGGTCCAGGCTGGGTTCTTGCAGCCCCAACAATCCACCACCCACCAGTGAAGTAAATGACCAAAAAGCAGATACACAGGCCTAAGCCACCCACTGTCCCTCACCTGAGCTTGACCTTGGAGTCTCCAGACATAGGGATCATTTCTTCATCTTTAAGATGGGGTGCATGGAAGCATCTACCCCCCAGCTGTTAGTCACAGGAGCATGAGTTGCTACACAGCAGGTGCCCAGAGCCAGACCTGAGCCACTCCCAGCACTAAGGAGCTGCTGCTGATTGTCTTTGGGACTCCAAACTTCAAATTTGGAATGCACAACACGCACATGGTGTTTGGCCAGATCTAAGGGCCATTTGTTCTGTTAGTTACTTTGTATTTCCTCTGTAAATCGTCTTGCTTTTTTCTGAGGCCTACATACACTTGTTTAGCAGAAGATTTTCTGTCAAGCCATCGAGCTGAAAACGAGACGCACAGCCAAAATTTGAGGAGCTAGAGGACGGGGGTCCCGGGTCTTACTGCCAGAGGGAGCCCCATCCAGAGAGAGATGGAGATGAGGTCACTTTCTCATCTTGCAATTTGATTGACTTAGTGCCATGGGGCACGTGACCCCACTAAAGCCATCTGCTATGGTCTGAATGCTTGTGTCCCCCAACTCTACAAAATCCTCAGTTCCCAGGGTGGTGGAGAGTTTGAAGGTGAGGTCTTAGGGTGAAATTAGGTCATGAGGGTGAGGTCCTTGAGAAAGGGATTAGTGCCATAGAAAAGAGAGCCTTTGCTCCTCCTGCTGTGAGAGGTCAGGTGGGAAGACACTATGAGCAAGGAGCCCTCACCTGACACCACATGGGCTGGTGCCTTGATCTTGGACCTGCAGACTGTGCTCTCTACATTTCTGCTGTTTAAGGCCTCCTGGTTTATGGTGTTCATTATATCAGCTGGAAGGGACAAAGGCATCGTTTTCCACAATACCTCAGGAATCAGGGCTTCTGTAGCTTCTTTGGCCTCTGATGTCCACTGTCACCAACACTCACTGCAAGCAAGATCACTACTAGGACATAGACTCTGAAGGAAGCCATAGATGACCTGCCCTGGCCCGGACTAATTCTCTCTCCAGTGAAAGTGCATGGGGCTGAGGGAAGGAACCCGGTGCAGGGACTGAAACTCTGAGCTTTGGGGCCCTTGGCTCCACTCTGTCCCCTTCCTACAGCCTCTGCATCCCCAGGTGAGACCCAGAGGCCCAGAAGGGGCACTCAGGGGTATCTCGAGGCAGGGTCCCCTTAACTTGCCGAGTCGGAACAAGGGCTGCAGAAGGGTGACCCGGACCTGCAACAGGTGTGCCTGCAGGACGATTCCGGGTGGGAGAGTGGGGACGGCACTGGAGCCAGGACACAGGTGTGGGTGGCGGGGGCTCTTTTCCACTTCAGAATCCGCCATGTCTCCTGGTTTCACCTGGACTCCTCCCACGTCCACTGGGCTGTCTGTTTAATAGTTGCCAGGACTTCTTGTCACAACAGGCATGATTGTTGTGCAAGGGGGAAGCGTGGCGAATGCAGAGGATGAGTCCTACGTCTTGAAGGAATATTTTTAAAAAGACAGCAGTTTGGTGGTTTTATTTGCTTATGTAATAGTGGAAAAATACAAGCTGCAACCCCATTTCACCCTGTAGCTAATAATCTTTTTAACTGTAACAGAACAGAATTCTGGTCTTGCAAAGTAGGTCACAGGTTGCTAAATAAATACCACTAAATTTATCTTTATAATACATACTACATATTTATAAAAGCACAACATATTAATATAAATACATACTATAAATTGCTCGTAAGCGTATAGAAGGTACTTATTATATGTATTGCTAAAGTAAGCACACTTGGCTATTGCAATTGTTTAGTTTTTTTTTTTACATTTAAAAAAAATTTAAATGTAACACACATACACAGTAACAAAAGATTTAAACAGTACATAAAAATACAGGATGCAGGGAAAGGGAAAGTAAGTTTTCCTCAACTCCCAGCATTTAATTTCCCAACTTGCCTCCCACTGGATAGCCTTGCTGAGATCTTCTGCATTCACCAAAGTCCTCCACACTTCTCCACCGTGACCCCATGTGAGTAGTGTTGAGCATGTCCATGGTGTCATGCAGGGCACAGCTGCCGACTCCAAAATGCTTTTCATCTTGCAAAACTGAGCTCTGTGCCCATCCAAGTAGCCCCATTTCCCATTTCTGCAGCCGCTGGCACCTGCTACTCTCCGTCTCTCTGAACTCAGCTGCTGGGGGGGGGGGAGGCTCCTCCAAGAGGAGGCTGGTGTGCGCCTCCTGTGGCCAGCTGAGGTCTTGGACTCCATGGTCCACTTTCATTCCCCACCTGGGACATCGGCCACCCGTGTGGCTCTGCGCCTCGCTTTTCTTACTTTACGGATGGGCGGAGCAGGCACAACCCATTTTGAATGGCCTTGGACCATTCCAGCTGGTGGAAGTGCAGAATTCAGGGACAGTCCTTTCCATCTCCGGAACACAATGTCATGGTGATACTATGAGTGTACACTTGTGAAGTCACTTCAGGGTGTGCCTGGAAGCCCTGCTGACCCTGGTGAGGAATGGGATCTCCATGGCTCCGTGTGCCTTTCTCCTGTCTCCTTGGCAGCCAGTTGCCTGCTCACCTTTTCTTACTCTCAAGGCTGCTCCTGGCGTGTTCTAGAACAGGTTCAGCCCCCTCCAATGTCCTCTTGTGGGTCGTCTCCCCAGCAAGGCCGGGCCGAGGCTGGGTCATAAGGTTCTAGTTTCTGTTCTCATACTCAGTTCCCTGCCTGCCATGAGGTCGGGAGCAGCACTGGCAGAGGAAACTTGAGGCAGCGCCCCCCACCCCCATGTTCCACTCAGTTTTTCTCCATCTTCTGTGCATGGTGTGAAAGTGGCAGCTCTCCATCACCCCATTCTCCTCTCCAGGGACTGTGAATTAAACATCTGTTTTCTCCTTGTCTCCGCCACTTGGATGGCCTTGAGCTGGCCCTGGCGAGCTAATGCAGTCAAAAGAGATGAGAGGGGAGGTCGGGCATCTGAATGCCACTGCCTGGCTCTGGAACACGCTCCAGCTGGGCCCAAACGTGGCTAATATCCTGGCCAGTCATTAAATTGGCCAACTTTGCATTTTAAAGACTGGGAAAGAGGTTCAGATCTAAGGAGCCTGGGATTTTGTAACCGCTGAGATGAGAATCGATCAAAGGAAAGTCAAAGTGAGCTGGGAAACGCTGCCAAGCCCCCTGAAGCAGCTGTCCCCCCTCCCAGGCTGTGGCAGACAGGCTTGGTCTCCTCCCCTCCAGACGGAGGTGGAAGACTCTACGGATCTCGCTCCCGTCTGTGTGCTTCCCTGTTCAAGGACTGCTGTGTTTGGGAGCTCACTGCAATTTGCAAATTAAACATTTATTTTGTTAGTTTGTAATTTCAAAAGAAAGAAAAATTAAAAAAAAAAAAAAGGTCCCAGCGTCGGAGGCCAACATAACCGCACTGGAGTCAGAGTGGCTGGGAATTGGGGTGTCCACAGGAACCACCAGGGGTTGCTTTCTCTCTGCTCCTGCTCCCCAGAGCCTGACAACCTTCCTCTGACTCCAGCCCATTTTCTTCACCATGTTCCTGGGGCGTCTATAGGGTTGGATGCTGGTGGGTGTTACCTGTGGTTCTCGTCCAGGGCAGCTTTGCCCCTGGGGACATTTGTGCCATCGAGCCAGGGCAGGGGAGGGCCAGCCCTGGGCATCTGTGGCTAGAGGCCATGGTGCTGCTCTACACCCTCCGAGGCACGGGGCACCCATGTCACAAGGACTCGCTGGCCTAGGGTGGAAGTAGAGAGGAATCTGGGAAAGCCCCTCCGGGGTAGAGGGGTCCCGTAACTAAAGGCAGCAATCTGGGGACAGGAGTCACTGGTGCCAGTTTGCTCATCAGGAACAGTGGGGACCTCGCTGTCAAAAAAATGCCCAGCTCCTCCTCAAGGCTGGCTGACTGGCACCACAGAGGCGCCTCTGTGCTTTGTAGAAGAATCAAAGATTCAATGTGTTGATTTTAAAACGCTGCGTGGTGTAAAGCGCATGCAGTCTGGTGGCCCAACTTCCCCTAGGGGGCTGAGAACCCGGACTGCCCCAGCCAGGCGGTGGCCATGCAGGCTGACATCTGCCGGGCTGTTTACATGGGCTGCTCTGTGGGTTCACTTTCCACCTTGTAACGCCAATTTGCCGAGCTGTTCCCAATTTCACAGATGGCGAACCGGGGCTTGGAGAGATCAGCTACCGACCCAGGTCCCCCCGCAGCCAGTGGGCCAAGTGGATTTGAACCAGGCTGGCCAGGTCTCTCCCACCACCTGGCTGACTCCGCCTCAGCTTCCCCGTTTCTCCCACCTTCTCCTTGCTCCTCGGTTCAGCGTCCTGTCCAGGTCTAGAGCAGTTCACATCCCTCTGAGGCCTTCTGACCACCCTGGGGCCGACTTGCTTCTCTCTGGATTCCACAGCCCAGGGGTCAAGACAGTTGTCCTGGCTCCTTCTGGCTCACTCGTCTCCACCCCGATGGCAGGGCCCTGCTTGTCATTCTCTTCCTCTCCCTGTCACCTGCCCAGCATGCAGGTGGGTATGAGCAGGCGGCAAGCACATCTGAGTGGACTTTGTGGTTGGCTCCCAGTCAGCCGGGGGTGGGGAGCAGAGCTTCTGCCAGCCATTTCCTTCAGCAGGACTTATCAGGGTTATTTCTATGTATGTGCATGATGATTGATGGGTAAGAGAAATCGTACTGTCCTCCAAATCTATTCAGCCAGAGACCCAATCGATATGTTTGGAGGATGTTATGGCTCAGATCTCACATGGCCTCCAAAGGCTTGCATGTTGGAAGCCTGATCCCTAGTGGACAGCACTCTCTGGAGGAGGTGAAGCCTTTAGGAGCTGGAGCCTAGTGGACAGAAGTGAGTCTTGGGGTGCATGCCCTTGAAAGGACATCGTGACTCTGGCCCTTCCTCTCTGCCTCTGCTTTCTTGGCTGCTATGAGGTAAGCAGCTTTGCTCCACCCCATGCTCTGCCATGATGTTCTGCCTGGCTACAGGCCCATGGCAGCGGGGCCAGGAGAGTGTGGACTGAAACTTCTGAAGCCCTGAACCAAAATAAACCTTCCTCCTTTAAAGTTGGTTTATCTCAGGCATTTTGTCATAGCAATGAAAGCTAACTAACCCAGAGGAGGGTGGGTAACGCAAGAGGGGTGTTTGTGCTCTCCTGGATCCAGCATGTGGCCACAAAGTAGCCAATTTTAGCAATTTCCAAGTATTATGTTGACACAGCCATTGAGACACCCTCAGTGGATGACATTATGGTGAACACAACTCCTAGTAAGGGCCACACATGACCAAACCTGTGCTTCAGGGCAGTGAGATAGGGAGGCGAGGCAGAGAAAGGCCCCTCCCTGCGCCCCCACCCTCCACAGAGCTGCAGTGCAGGGGTCACGGCCATGGCTGGGGGCTCCTCATGCTCCCTGCTGATGCTGCAAGATAGGGCCTCTTCCAAGAGTGGAGCTTGGTTTTCTTGAACAGCACAGGTTTGAGGCGGCAGCCTTACCCTGGAGGACCTGTTAGGTATCGCCAGCAGGTGTGGTGGATAATCCCACAAGTCCCCCGGGTCACTTCTTTCTGGAGTCAGATTTTTATGATTTTTCCTGTAATTATAACTGGGTTTATCTATTACTTAAAAAAAAAAAAGTTAAAACTCCCATCCTCAGGTAAGCTTAGCACTGGGAAGGAGCGATGGGAAAATCATTTGCATCTGGTAATTGGTAATGCAGTGAGAAGCAGCCTTGGAGGCACAGTGAGTTTGGGTAGATAAGCAAGTTAAGGGGTATAACTGGTGGGGGGCAGGAGGCACCAGATCGGACCTGGGAGAGGTGGTCTGGCCATGGAGGAAGATGCAAAGAACTGTTGGCAGCTGGCCATGCCACTTGGATGCAGCCCTCAAACACCAGGCAGGAGCCACAGTCCGGCATTGAATTTCGTTTACCTGGTGTGCATACAGCAGGCGCTCTCACACGATTTTAAGTGGATTAGTTTGGGAGGCGTGGGGCCTGACAGCTGCCTGGCTTGGAGGCATGACCTACATTCTAATTTAAATGCATCTTCTGCTCATGCAAGAGATAAGAAGGGGGGTTCTCCTGGGGCGTTGGGAAACAGGAGGGGAGCCTTTTAGGGCCACTCAGCTCCACCGGCACAGAGAGGCGCGGCCCCAGGCCAGGGGTTTAATTGCATTTCTTTTATGGCTGCCTTCTATTTACGGCAAAGGATGCTGGTTTCACGTTCAGGCGGGATGTGAAGTTCCCTCCTGAAATGTATTTATTAGAGGGAGGAGAGAGAGGAAGGCAGTTGATTTTCACATGCAGGAGTAAGTCACAATGGTGCTGCTGACCTGTGGCATCTGGTTTGGAAACCGCAGGGTCTTCCCAGAACGAGGCAGCTGGAGGAGGGTGGGGTAGAGGGGTCTCTCGCAGCCCAGGCAGAGGCCTTGAGAAGTGAGGACAGACTTGGGCTCTGTGGGGGCTAAAGGCTTGTGCCCACTTTGTGACCTTGAGACAGGACCATAAAACTTTTAAAAGATCAATAGGTCTTCAGGGGGGTGAGGCTGGATGGAGAGCTGGGTTAGCCCCTGTAAAAGGCACGGGGGAGAGGTCAGAGGGTCTCCCAGAAGCCTGTTCCCACAGCTTAGGACAGAATGATGGCCCACGGTCTCAGAGACATTATAGTCCAGCATGGCTTTGGCTCCAAGGAAGCCCGGTAGGAGAGGCTCAGGCCTGGGGATGTCCCCCCAGTTGCCATCCTGGTGGAGCCAGGCCTGCACGTCGGGCACAAATGGTGATGCACCTCCCTTGTCTTGTACCCGTTTTCTCTCAATGGAGACAAAACACACTGGGCCAGAAGACAAGTGCAGCCCACGTGGCAGTTCTACATGGTGGGTCCACATGGTGGACTGTCACCGGCCACGGGAAGGGATGAGGCCCTGATGGGAGGCCTGCTTGGGCCTCGAGAACATCCTCGTGCTGAGTCCGACACAGGACAGGAAGAAGCATGCAGCTTGGGATCTGTCTGCATGGAACTTCCAGAGGAGGCAGGTCCAAGACACAGAAAACAGACTCGAGCTTGCCAGAGGCCGGGGGAGGGAGGCCGAGTAAGGGACAAACTTCCTTCTGGGGTGATGAGAATGTTCTAGAGTCGATGGTGATGGTGGCACCTGTTAATAGATGAGTGGAAACCCACCGATGGGGAAACCCACTTTAAGGGTGGGTCAAAGATATATGAAAAGTAATGGAAACGGAACCCGGTGCACAGTGTGTACCTGAAGCCCAGTCATCATGTCCTGAGCAGCTCTCTCAGCAGGAAGGAAAGGTGTGACACCAGCATCAAGATCGATACCAACTAGGGGAACTCAGGCTTGAGCTCAGGAGTCAGACCCTTGCCTTCCAATCTCTGCCTGCCAGGAGCCATGCCATTGAGGGTGACAGTCCTCGTGGGACACAGGAGTAACTGCTGAGGACTGTGACTACAAGGAAGCTGGAGAGGCACCTGTCACTCCCGCCAACCCACTCATCCAAGGGAAGTCTCAGGTCCGGGCAGATGGGCTTCAGAGAGGAGGGCACTGGACAGACAGCATACCCACTTTGTATTCTGGGGGTTCTGAACACAGAGGAGCGCCAGGGCTTTGGCCTGTCAGGACAGCTGGCCCATCTGGCTTTAGGCAGCATAGCGGCCACACAGTGTCAGAAGCATCCCTGTGGATTCCGAGCTGGGCCAATGACGCCGTGTTCGTGTTCTGTTCAGCACACACCTCCTCTGTCCTTCCACTCCACAGAATTTCTGCCTGTCTTCTTGACCTGGTTTGCGATTCTGTAAATTGTAGATAACTGATAGCCATGCAAATGCCTCCTGTCAGGAGACACGCTTACAAATTATGCCCAGAGGAGAGACAATGGATTTCTCTCCCCATCTGTGTGGGAAAGTCAGTTTCTTAACTACTTACACAATTTATTTCATGGCCTGTGTATGTCTCTGTCTCTTAAATTCCCCTGTGAAGGGTTACATCTTATAGGTTTCTCCATTCTTCATCATTAAAATTTTTGACACATGTTCATTTTGTATTTGTAAGACTCGTGATTTTACTGTGTTTTTGAGAATCATCCTGTAGTAATGTGAGAGGAATTAGTGAGAGGAGCCAGGGCTGTCCAAGTTCAGGAAAGCCACGGTGAGGGACCATAAGGGTTAGGTGAAATGGTGAGGCAGGGCCTCAGGCTGGCATTGGTGGCTTTATAGGAAGAAGAAGAGGGACAGAGCTCAGATACCTGCTGTCTTGCCAGGTGACATGCCCTGCCGTGCTTTGATACTCCTGAAGCCCTTACCAGATGCTGAAGAGATGCAGGCACCATGCTCCTGGACCCCGAGCCTCCAGCACTGTGAGCTCCACAAATTTCCACTCTTTATCCATCACCTGGTCTGTGGAATCCAGTTAGAGCAAGAGGAAATGGATGAAGATGGTGGGAGTGCTGTCAGGTGGAAGGAGGAGGCAAAGTGCTTCATCCAGACTCCAACACGTCAAGGGTGCTCAGAGACATCAGCTATAAACAGCAGTGCTCCAAGGGTTAGAATGAGAGTCATGATTAAGGGAGACTGCATAGCACCATATGTGCACAGGATGCCTGAGTCCTGCAGGGTGGAGGAGGAAGAATGAACAAAGGAGCCAGGAGAACAAAGGAGCCAGGAGAACTCACGTGTGCAGTTCAGGCACCCTGGCTCTGATTACCCACGGGGGTCTAGGTAATCAGAGCCAGGTGTGGAGGCTATGGATCCCAGGTGGCACAGGCACTGCCCCTGGGCTACATCAAAACTGCCTCTGGAGTGGACATCTGGCCCATCTGCCATCTGGTACAGAGTCTCCATCCTTCCAGAAAGGTCTCCACTCCTTTTTGGCGCCAAAGACTTTATCAGGGACTCAGACCTAAGCAGGACCAGTTCAACACCAGTTCAAGAAGTGGGCATGTGACTCAGGCCTGGCCAATCAGAGGCTAGCAGAAACTACAAGTGGGCATGGGATTCTCTCCTGGCCAATCAGAATCCAGGAGAGGAAGAAGCACATGATTGGTTCTGGGATAAGCACATGATCAGTTGTAGCCAATAAGCCTCTACTCTGGGATATTTGTGGGAACTCTTGAGAAGCAGAAGTGGCTTTTGTCTTTTTCCATGTGATTTTTCCCAAAGAGGATGAAGACTTGGCAGTGGGCAGGACAATCTGCCTCTGAACAGAGAATAAAATCCAGGCCTTCTCCATAGCTTTGAGGCCCTGCAGTCAGCCATACCTAAAACCAGCTCTGATTTCTTAAACAGATTTCAGTTAGGCTTTTCTGTCTTCATAACCACACAAGTCTTCATCAACACACTCTTTTAAAAGACAAATTCCTGTGATTCCTCATACAGAAGGTCCCTAGAGGAGTCACACCCATAGACAAAAGTAGAAGGGCTGTGACACTAGTATTTAACAGGGACAGAGATTCAGTTAGGGACTATCAAAGAGTTGTGGAGATGGACAGTGGTGATTTTACAATATGCTAGTGCTCCATGCAGCTGAAGTGCGCACTTAAATGTGGTTCAAATGGTCAATTTTGTATTATATATATTTTACCACAATAAAAAATTCATTTAAAAAACACTTTCTTGTGTAAAGACTTGGCAGAGAGATATAGAAACTTGTTACAGTACATAGTAACTCAGTTACAGTATTTTTTACTGAACATTCCAGATCCCAACCTCAGACTGGATTGGCAGGGAAATACATACATATATAAGTACTTTTATATGTAGGTATTTTTTTTAACCAAATAAGAAGGCTAGAAGATAGGGAAGCCCAGAGTTGGTTGATTCAGAGACTCCACAGTGCCATCAGATAGCCCCAAGTTTCTGCTCGGCCTTACAGGGCATTGGCCTTTCATGGTCTCATCTCCAAGCTGCAGCTGCAGCCATCCCACCCCCATGCAGCTGAATCCAAAGACTGTGGAAAGGGTGCCCTCCCGAGCCCTGGGACAGCCAGCTGCTTATCCAACACTGGCCTCCTTTCTTGCTTATCGAACTCTGAATTGTTCAGAGCAGTGTTGTGCGCAGG